ATATTTTCACTATGTCTGCATTGACGGGGTGAGAAAGGTCGTCACCATCCATGGTGGTTATAATCATAGCTCCTCCTGAGAAAATGTTCTTAACCACAAATAGCCCTTCGTAAGTAGGGGTCTATTTGCCCCTGGGATCACCCTGTGGCAGTATGATGCGCTTGATAACCATGTCTCCAACTTGATACTCTTGTCGTCTAACTTTATTGTTAAATGCCTTGATCATCCGTTTTTGATACGTTTGACCATGACAAATAGCAGTAAGTCTCTTCTCGTCGATTAAGTTCAGCTGATCAAGTCGGGTCTGAATCCAGTCATCTTAGCTCAAACCTGCATCCTTCATGATCCGAAGAGAGGGTATCTGAACTTCAATGGGCAAGACAGCCTCCATGCCATGCACCAAGGAATAAGGTGTTTCCCCTGTTGACGTCCGCGCTGAGGTACGATACCCATGAAGAGCAAATGGTAACATCTCGTGCCAATCTTTGTATGTCACCGTCATCTTCTGCACAATCTTCTTAATGTTCTTATTAGCCGCTTCTACAACCCCATTCATCTTCGGCCGGTAAGGAAAAGAGTTGTGATGCTATATCTTGAACTGCTTGTAGAGCTCAGTGATCATCTTATTATTGAGATTTGTACCATTGTCCGTAATGATCCTCTCTGGTACACCATATCGACAGATCAAATTGTGTCGAATAAACCGTGCCACGACGTTCTTGGTTACTGTAGCAAAGGAAGCTGCTTTAACCCACTTCGTAAAGTAATCAATTGCTACCAGAATGAAACGATGCCCGTTGGATGCCGTAGGTCTAATCTCGCCGATCATATCGATGCCCCACATTGCAAAAGCCAAGGTGTTGTCAAAACATTCGCGTCTTTGATATTAATAGGGTAGTGTGAGTCAGCATATACTATCTTAGCCGGCGAACAGCCCATGCCAAAGCGTGGCAAGTTCCCTCGAGCAGTGAGTATCGGATCTCACAGTCGGTAAACTTTTCGCGAAGGTAGTAAATAGCATGCTCTTTTCGGCCAGACACGTCATGCTGCCCCAGCACGCACCCCATTGCATTATCGAGTGTAGGATTAAGGGTCTCCCTTATACTGGAGGCATCAAAATCGGTGGCTTTTGCAAGTTGTATGGCTCTTTCTTCCTGTAGTAAGAGTCTAGCAAGTTCACCAGGCACTTCGCAATCATCTTCACCTTCGTCCTTGGCTTGGTTGATCGGACTTTCAAAGTCATAACTGACAGTAGCAGAGTCGTTATCAATGGGATCCAGAGTGGATGTGGATCATGATATGTGAGTGTGTGTAAAATAGCTGTTTTGCAAGATAAAAAGAAAAGCAAGGAGCACAAAATTTGAAATGCAAGAAAACGTCCAATGCTTTTATTAATGATATATGGAAATGACACACATAAATCCCTCACAAACAAAAACACGGTGTCTCGGGTAAGGCACCGGGCCGTAAAGTTTAAAAATTGTCTGTTACAAATTCGAAACAAAAGTCTATTACTGTGTGACAAAAGAAATTGGCACGAAGTCCTTCGCCGTCCAGTTGCTTAGTCCGCCGTCAGTAGTCGGGTAGATCCAACTCTCAAACTCAGACTCTTCATCATCGGCTTCAATCATGTTCACTTCAGGATTTGTAATACGCAGGGGAGGTCTTCCAATCCGCGCCCGCCGAACAGCCCGTTGAGCTTCTGCAGTGAAACCCAAACCAAACTTGTTAGTCTTGTGTGCAAAGTCAGGGAGTTGGCCCCAATTCGCACACCCACCTTGCTCAACCATAGCCCGGGCATCCTTGAGGGAAGCTATCTTCATTGGAGGATCTTCAGTAATAATTTTAGTTGATGCCAGCGTCTGGGGGACTTCTTCAAAATGTTGACACGGGGTCTCAATGAACTCCCCATCCATCTCCACATACCGAAAAGAGTTGAGGTGGCTCACCATGTACTCCTCCTCTCCTCGTACCGTAACAATTTTCCCCTTCATTGGGTATTTCAGCATCCGGTGGAGCGTTGAAGTTACTGCCCCAGCTTTGTGGATCCATGGGCGACCCAACAAACAAGAATAAGATGGCCGAATGTCCATCACATAGAATGTAGATGTGAAAATCTGAGAACCAACCTTAATTGGAATATCCACTTCTCCACGTACCATTCTCTTGGACCCGTCAAAGGCCCTAACCACAATGTTGCTTGGTTTCAGTACCAAACCTTCACAGTCCAACCGGTCTAAAGCTTTCTTAGGCAAAACATTCAACGAGGATCCAGTATCCACCAAGACATGGGCTAGAGTAGTTCCCATGCACTCAATGGAGACATGTAGGGCATCATTGTGATTATTCCCCTTAGCAGTCAAGTCTACGTCGAAGAAACCCAACCCATTATCTGCTGTTAGACTAGCCACACAATCTTTAAACTGATCAGCTGATGTCTCTTGCGGCACATGTGCAGTCTTCAGGAAAGCAATCAGAGCCTTAGCATGGGCCTCTGAACACAACAATAAAGACAACATAGAGATCTTCGACGGGGTTTTCCCCAGCTGTTAGACTACATTGTAGTCGCTTTTCTTGATGATCTTTAAGATTTCCTCCATCTCCTGTCTAGAGGCTTCAACAGTAATCTTCCTCGGTGCCTCCGTCCGGGCAGGCTCACTGGTGATCCCTTTGCCCCGAGTGTCAGATGACTCGGAGACAGGGGTAAGGATTGGAACTTGAGCAGGGACAGTAGCAGATGTACTGGCCGGCGTAATAACAACAAGCTTCCGAACAGTTGGTGGAGAGATCTCAGGGGAGAAAAGTCTTCCGTTGCGGGTGACTTTACTAGATCTAACAATATTGCTGATGTCGGTATCAACCTCTTCAGCACTCAAGTCTTGCTTAACCCCGTGATAATACACGTCAGCCCCATAGTGCCATGGGACAACTTTATCTGATGTATAGGAGATAGGCCCAGGAACAGTAATGATCAAGGGAGCGATTCTCGGAACAGATGTAATTCTAACAGGCTTTCTCGAGGAAGCCTTGGAAGAATTGTCGAAAATGGTGATTATAGCAACTTCTTCAACAGGAACCAAAGGAACAACAGTCTTCTCAAACAAAATTTCTTTATTATCCATCAGACATTGGACACCTGACTTCAAAAGATGGCAACCAGTAGGTAGGACAGAACACAGACGACAACCTTCGCCACAACCCAGAAATAAACTGACTAATAGAAGGTTCCTCTTCACAGTCATCAATGGAGTAGCAATGTCTTTCACAGAAATCACAAATGAGTCTTCATCTACAACATTCACCCCATGTTTGGGCATAGGAGCAGTCATAACATTAGGCTTTTTCAGGCGTTTCGAACTCAATCTCCTTAGCGTCAATCAAATCCTGTACCTTATTTTTCAGGACCCAGCAGTCATTCGTATCATGCCCCGGGCTATCAGAATGAAAAGCACAGCGGGCGTTCGGATTGTACATCAGTGATGTTGTATTGGGATTCTTCGGGGCTTCCTTCGGAATCACCAAGTTGGTCTTTAGTAACTGTGGCAGAATCTGAGACAGGGTCATATGGAGCTGAGTGAATTGTCTTCGTGGCCTCTCGGCTCTTGGCTGATTGTTGCGTTGTGAGGCAACAGCAGGTCTTGATATAACAACCGCATTGACTGCTTGGCGGCGCTCAAGTCTATTCTGGCCTTTTGAACTGTAAACTGCACTGGACTCCTTCTTAAAAGGCTTCTTCTTGGTACTTGAAGAAGCACATTTCTGTATCTTACCGCTCTTGATACTGGCCTTAACTCTTTCCCCGGTCATAATCAGCTCAGTAAACCCGGACGATGAACTTCCAATCAGATGGTTGAAATATGGACCAGACAAGGTTCCCAGAAACATATCCACCAACTCCCTGTCTGCTAGCGGGGGTTGGACTCTACCGGCAAGGTCCCTCTATTTCTGAGCGTAGTCTTTGAAACCTTCGCTCGCACCCATAGACATACCCTGAAGTTGGGTAGGCGTGGGAGCGAGGTCGGCATTGTATTGGTACTGCTTGTAAAAAGCAGCAGCAAGGTCTTCCCAATTACGGATACTAGCTCCTTCCAGCTGGTAAAACCATTCAAGTTGAGTCCCTGAAAGACTATCTTGAAAGAAGTGGATCCAGAGGTTCTTATCAGCAGTGTATGGCTGGATCTTTCTAACATACGAGCGTAGGTGCAGTTTTGGACAAGAAACCCCGTCGTATTTAGTAAAGATTGGTGCTTTAAACTTGTGGGGAATCACCACCCCATATGACAAACCCAAATCACCAAAGTCCAATCCAGGTACCTTCTGGATCTCCATCGCACTTAACCGGTCTTCAAGCTGTTTATATCTATCCTCAACTGGAGGATACTGGTCTTCGTCAAAGTCAGTCTCGTTGTCAGAAACCACAGGGCTAGGAGCCCTCCTTTCTTCCTGGTTTTCTCTCCCTTCAGGTGAGTGAGATAAATCAACATCCCGCAAATTGTTCCCAAATCTGCGACCCATGTTCAGGAGGACCGTCTTCTTCTTCTTCTTTTTCTTATCCTTCAAGATAAGAGTCTTCAGATCTTGCTGACCCTTGGCCAAATTCATGAACATTTCCTGAAACTGAGCATTTTGAGCTTGAAGAGCCTTAATAGCTTGATCAGTTGATGTTTCAGCAGACATGATGCTGAAATAAACAGCGAAGAAGATAAGAGACCTGTAAGGGTACCTGTGATGAGGTACATGGAAATGAAATGCGTATGATATGATTTCAAAGACGTTGAGAGATTCAAATTCGTAAACCAAAATGAAACACACTTTTATTAGATAAACTTGAAACAATGTTTGATAAATGCCTTTAAGGCGTTACAAAAAGAAATACTGAAAAGTAAATAAAAAAACAAAAGACATCAGCGCTCCCATGGTCGTTTTCTGTTGGTGCTGACATAGTCATTGAGGACCTTCTCATTCTCCAGCTGCCTTGTAAGCTTTAGAATCTTCCGCTCCTATTCGTGATACTTTTCTCTGTAAGTATCCCGCTCTTCTCTCAACTGGATCCACGACCTCTTTAATGCCCCAATGTCAGTTGACATGTACGGATGTAGGACAATATGAGGAACCCCTTCTTCATCAGCACTCTCAATGATTACCGGTAAGACAGCTTCGTACGACATTCCCAGCTTTTGGGCACGGGTTCGAACCCATTGGAGATATGGTTCCATTGGAAGAGAAGTCTTCGCTCCTAGCTCATGCGGATCAGACCTGTGTACCCTATTCCAAGCTCGTATGAATCTGCAGCGATGCTCCTCACTATCCCCTTGGTAGTCAAAGACAATACTTGGAATCAGTAACTCATGAGGACCGTCCTTTCTAGCTCTCCCAAACTGTCGTAAGGCCATACATGGATTATAAGTTATTCCTCCCCTAATTCCAAGAAAAGAAACATTGGGGTATTCCCCACAGCGATCAATAATAGCTATGTCTTCCATGTCTTTAGTGCTCCAGATAATGTCAGTGTGAGCGAGAGACATAATTCTGTAGGCCCAACCCATGTCTTCCTTGTTCTTCAAAACTGATTTGGGGAGGTGAGAAATAAACCACCTCGCCAGCAATGGTGCACAACACATAAGGGTTCCCCGTTTCCGAGCAGTACGGGCATAAAGAGAGTGCAGAATGTCACCTAAGAGAGTGGGCACAGGATTACGGGACATGAAAATCTTCACTGCATTCACGTCGACGAAAGAATCTGAGTTAGGAAATAACACCAAACCATAAATGAGAAGAGCCAGGATGTCCTCGAATGCCTGAAAAAGTCAAACTGTCCCAGAACTGATTAGCCGGATCAACCAAGAATTTAGCCAAGAAGCCTCTTGTCCCACTCCGAGTGTCCCAATTAGACATTACCTCAGCCTTTGTCAGATGGAGGGTTGAAGCAATCTCTTCCGGCCTAAGGGCTTTCTCCCAACCTGTAAATGGCATCTGCTCTAGAATAGAAATACCAAGAAGATCATAGAACTCCTCCAGAGTAGGGACCAACTGATAGTCCGGGAAAGTGAAGCAGTGGTATAATGGATCAAAGAACTGGCACAAAACACTCATCATTTGCTCATCCATTTTGGAAGTGACCAAACCAAGGAGGTGACCGTGTCTTCTGATAAAGGAGGAAGTATCTGGAACTTTGGAAACCAAATCTTTAAGCTGAGTAGGAATCTGTACAAAACTGATCCGAATAATGTTTCTACGCATAGAGGCCATGACCTACAAAACAGAACAAAGATGAATCCCCTCTGTCTTTGAAATGGGTTAGTCTGATGCAAGATGCATGCAATGTCATAATGCATGATGTCATGATAGAAACACACCACAAGTATTCACAGATAGCAAACATGGTAAGGGAAAACAAGTCACACAGATAGCCCTTAGATTTCAGGCTGGCAAGGAGTTTAGGTACTACCCTCTTTCAGTTTAGTTGGTTTAAACCTGTCCTAGAAATAGTAACCGGGTTCTAGAGGATCTCAATATCACTGACCACCCTCGATCGGTCATAATTCCAGTTTGGCAACCTTTTCTTGCGGCCGGAATCATCGCGAGAGTTTGGTCTCAATGAGTGTAGCATACTGCTACTTTTCTATGGCCAAGTTGGTCAATTATAGGTTCTAAGGTCAGTTGGTGCTTAATGACCCATTAGAAGACCCATATTCTCCTTGTTCCACCACAAGGAATATCGGTACAAACTAAAGTGCCACACCAACGTAGCTATTGCTTCAACCGTATCAGTCTATGCTGTACAGTTCCCTCACAGTCTATTACTACTTACCTAAAAGGTATCCCCCAGATCCGGGTTAGGATCTATAGTAACTCCGAATCAAACCCACAAAGATAAAGCATATAAATCAAGCAATTGAAAACATTATGATGAACTATTCCTAAGGTACACCCCACTTAAAAGACTATCCCCAGCAGAGTCGCCAGTTCTGTGATACGGTGGGAAGAACTAACTGTTTTTGGAATGCTGGTTTGTGTTTTGCGTTTGTGTTTGCAAAGTGTCGCGATAAGCAAGAGTCGCCACCGACTTTTATTTTATCCAACAAGAAAAGGAAAAAAGCACAGAAAAATTTCCTTTTCGAGATATTTCTGAGTACGGGGGGTAGATTATAGAAAGGGAAGGTATTAGCACCCTTTCTATCCGTAGTTATCTACGGACTCTTAGGTACTTGCTCATCATTTTCAAAATTGTTTTCTTTGTGTTTGTGGGCTTTGAAAAGTTTTTGTTTTAACTTCGATTTAACTCTTGCTTCTGTCTTTAAGGGTGTAATGAAGTGTTTTTGAAAACTTTGTTTATAAAGGAGTGTAAGTGTGAAAAATTTGTTTGGAATGAGAAAGTACTTAAGAATTAATCTACCTACTCGAGAAAAGAATCGTTCTGTGTTCGTTTTCTTTAGACAATACTATCCCACTATTAGTGAGTAGGTAGCACCATCGTCGGAGTTTGAGGGTCAATTCGAATGAGGGACATACGGTCACTAAAGCAATATTAGGACGCCTTAGCGATAACCCTAATGTCTTAGATCATTTGTTTGAGGCAACAATATTCGAGGCAACCATTTTGAGGCGACTATTTTGAGGCAACTATGATCTTTTAGACAAGAGGGCGACCTCTAAGACAACCTATACTCAATGACCGTGTACAAAGACAACCAAGTAGGGTGTACCCTAAGAGTGCGCATGTGCGAGTGTGTCGTTTTTAGTTATTTTTATCTTTGCACATGTTTTGGGTGATCTAATTTGATTTTAAGATTAAGCATTCAGTCTTGTCATGCAAACCCTATTATCAAACATCTAACAGTTATATAATTTGCGGAATTAAAATGCGGAAATTAAACTAACTATTACAAGGCGTCGGGTATTTACATCGCCAAAAGCAACCCTTTGAAAATAAAATAAAGCAGTAAAATAAATAAATGTCCTAATTAATTATTACATACCGGAAGCAGATACATTAATTGGATAAAGAAAAAATAAAGCGCGACGCGAAATTAAATCGAATGCAAATTAGGGTTTTGACCCTTTTAAAAGAAAATTCTTTTTTGTTGTTTTTATTTTAAGAAAAAAGAAATTAAATACTAAATTAATTATTAAATAAATTAATGGAAAAATAATTAATGACATACTTTTGATTTTTTTTTGTTATTTTAAGAAAGGACATAAAAAATAATTAAATGAATTTAAAACCTAATTAATTCTAATTAATTTTAAATATTCACAAAATAAATTAAAGTTTCCTAATTAATATCCTAATTAATTAATAAGTGTTTATTAATAAAAATAAAATTCTGAATTAAAAAGTATTTTTATGATTTTTTAGATAAAAAGAAAATATGTGATTGGTTAGTAAATTAATTAAGCAAAATAAAATAATTAAGTTAAAATAAATAAATATGAGAGAAAGAAGGAATTAGGCCTTTTTGGAGGGTGCAGAAAGCATTTTGTTGGTTGGCCCATTTGCTGATCCATTTGACTTTCTTGATTTGCTGCATATGTGTTGACCTGTCTCTTTGGTGGACCTCCAACACTGACCACCAGATCTGGCTATTTGGCCATCTGGCTCTCTAACAATGAATGTCTATAGTGGAAATCTAGCCCATGCGTGCACATGATTACCTGAAAAATATTGAAAAAATGCAAATTGCTGGAGGCAGGGATCGAACCCCTGACCTCCAGCCTTTGAATGCCTTAATGCTAACGTGGTGACCGCTGGGCTGCGTTGTTTCATTTGTTAACAAAATACAACATGACAATAATATAAGAAAATAATTGCATTAGTGGGATTTTGGCGCGAATTTCAAACAGACCAACAGAAGGGTGACAACGCATCATCCTCTTCCTCAAAAACCTGTAAATTTTACCTGCGGATTTTTATCCGCAGCTAAAAGCATAGCTTCCTCCTAAAATCGTCCCCAGGCAATATAAATGAATTCCAGGACCATGGTTTGATTCATCATCTTCTTCTGAACATAACCATGTCCATCATGAAGATCAATTGTACCTGAAACGAAAACCCCCAAAAATTCCAAGAAAACCCTAACTATGGTGGATCTTCATACAGGTCAGATAAATGCAATTGGTCAATGTCAAAAGCTTGCAAATGGCATGGTGATTACAAATATGCAATTATTTCATTATAATAATGCCTAATTTCAGAGGTACGAAATCAAGAACAGGACCATGTTACGAAGGACTTACAGCGCGTATGGAAGCTTGAAAATGCCTGGTTGTGATTGGTTTTGCTTGTGGAGGTTGCCAGGAAGCGATTGTGATGCTTGCCAAACCCTGAAAACGCCTCTAACCTTGATTTCGATCCCACACTTTTTCTTTGTTTTTGCAAGTTTGGTTCTCACCCTATAACTGCTCTCCAACCCTGATTCTTGTGTGTTTCGCTTGCTTATGTAATGTACAATACATTAGGGTAGCATTTGTTGTTCAAATCTTGCTTTATCAATGCTCTTGAATTTGATTTGATTTGCTTTTACAAACTTTCCAAATTGGCTTGATTTCAATCTTTTTGCACCCTTATGCCTTGATACGAATTGGGAATGGTTTGATAGCTGTGATTAAAGCCTGAAATAGTCAAAAAAATCCATTGGTATCAATGTTTTGGATTTTATTTGATTTTATTTGATTTAAATCAAATTAATTCAAATAAAAATCAAAACAATTAATAAAAATGTGATATGGACACATGGCTAAAGCTAGAGCACGTGGTCAATAATGCAAACTCAAAACAAGTGAAAAAGAATGGGCCCATTTGGCAAAATTTGAAGTTTTGGGGATAGTTGACTTTTGGCAATTTTGCAAAAAAGGCCAACTTCAACAATGCATAACTTCTTCAATTTTGAACTTTTGGAGGTGTTCTTGGACTTTTTAGAAATCTTGAGATGTACTATATTCAACCCGTTTAGTCTCATATCATTTTGATATTCCATGCTCAAGTTAGAAGCTTTCACAAAAAAAGTTTTTTGTTGACTTTCAAAAATGACCTATAATATCAAAATTCATAACTTCTTGTAAGTGCATATTTTGATCTTGGGGTATGAAGATGGATTGTAGGGAATTATTTACTCTTCAAAATGAGCTTTGGATGGGTCATTTATAATAAATTATGAGAAAGTTATGCTTGGTCAAAGTTGGGTTGACCTTTCCTATAAAACCCTAATTTAGCAATTTTTGAATCTTGATGAATTTTGAGCAACCCTTGATGAATCATGATCAACCCTTGATAAAATGATGAAATATCCTTCAAAATGAGAATGTTGACAAAAAATCTTGAAGTTTGACTGTATTTGGGTCACAGTTGACTTTTGCCCTAGCACAGTCGATTTTTGGACCTTTGAGCAATTGACTGAGCAAAATTCCTCTGCAAGGCTTGAAACTTGACATGGATGATCTTGAGAACATATTAGGAAATTGGTGAGCACTTGGGGTAACTTGGACTCAAGGATCTTGATGCAACACAAAACCCTAATTTGAGTAGACTGCCTTAGGAGAGAGCTTGTCTGGCCAACCCTTGGACTACTTTGAGCAATTTGGAGACCTTTCTTGCAATGTTTTGAGAAATATGGGAGGGAAAATTTTGGGGTACAACAGGAAGGTATTAGCTCCCCACACACCGGTAGTACTCTACGGTATCCACTCATGTTTTTCTAATTAAATATTGTGTTTAAATATAAGCTTAAGAGCTAAGGAACAAAGTGTAAAGACAGAATGCATGCGAAAGAAAAGAGAAAATAATGTAGGGAAAATAAAGTTGTGCTCACTTCGGCCCTACACCAATACCTACGTATCCTTTTTGAGGAATCCGAGTTACCGTAGTTTGGCTCACATGTTTTGATTTGTTTTATATTTTTTAATGAGAAATATTAGGAGTCATATTTTTTTATAATGTTTTTTACCTTGAAGAATGATTTGAAAGTTGTTAGATGTTTTATGCATTTTCCAAGAAAAGAGTTTTAGTCTTAATGCAAGGATGCAAAAGAAAGAAAAAAATCTAAGGGAAACTAGCTAGAATCTAATCCCTAATGTTATCATACAATGATTGACCCTAAGGTTGAGTTTTGAAAGGTAAATATCTACCCTATGTTAGCATGCATGGATACCTACACTAATGTCTATCTCAAATCACCGTCAAAGGATGAATCAAGAACTCCTAAGGGAATATAGAAAAAGGTTCACAACCTAAACCTATGTCTAACTCAAAT